TTTTTGAACTAGTCATCTGCACTTTGTTTAGGCTTATTCAATCATTTGTTGTTCATGTTTATCCATCATATGCCATAAGCTAACCTGTACATTCAGTAAAATAATGTTTAAGGCAGGAAAATGCAGCATGTATCGACACATATCCTCATGTGTCGACTCATCCTAGTGAAAAAATAGGGTATGAGTCGACACATAACACCCATGCATCGACTCATACTGATTCCAGGTTACAAAACAGAAGTGGGAAAAGACTATGAGTCTACACATACGCGTTTCACGCCGATGCAAGAAGGTGCATGAGTCAACACATCCCATTATGTGTCGAATCATACTGAGCAGATTTTGTTTTACAGGAGCAAGGAAAAGCTATGTGTCGATGCATAGCAGCATGGGTCGACACATAGCAGTTCAAAATGCACTTTTCCTTTTATTTTACACTTTTTTTACATTGTTTTCATTATCATTCGATATGGTTGTAATATTTCAGCCTCCACTTCATTCCCATTGTAAATTTGTACCCCTATCCCCCTAAAGTGATGTAATAGCTTAGGATTTATTTTCCGCATGTTTACTTACTTTCATATATTGCTAGTAATTAGGATGTATGGCAAGATAAAATCAGCAAATAGGTAACCTTTCAAATACAAGACAAAATGCATGCAAACTAACACACTTGCACACTAGCATCTCTAAGGTAATCTCATTTTCTTGCCTTTCGGAAAATAGTCATGTCCCTCGAATATGGGACGTTTTAGCAAAAACCCTTCGATAAAAAAGATCGTAGTCCCTCGATGACCCTCGATGTTGCCTTCGATAAACGATCTAGTCCCTAAACGACATTGCTAAAATGACTCATAAGTTGATTTCTATGACTATACAAACGTTCCATACTCGTCCCTTCACATCCAACGATGGGGCTTCTTACCAAATCAATGGTAAGATAGCCACATCTAAAGGAGGGGGAAAAGCACATTTAAGACCTTTCGAGTAGGTAGGTTCGCTCTCATTTACTCACTTGCTCACAAAAAAAATATTTTATACACCAACACTCTCATTTTGAAACACTTTTGAAAACAACACTTTGTACGCGTTCTTATAGAAACGAGAGTCATTACAAAGAAAACCCTTTTCAAAATCACTTTCAAAAACATATCTCACAAACACCTCTTTGAACTATTTTCGAAACAAACACTTTGTATGCGTTCTTATAGAGACGAGAACCATTACGAAGTTCCATTTTTAAAAATACTTTCAAAAACCACACACAAAGCACAATTTCAAACAAAAGCAAGTGATCTAAGCAAGTAACTAAGAGCCCATGGAAAACCATGGATGAAAAGGGTGCTAGCACCTTCCCTTTTCATAATCTACCCCCCGAGCTCAATAAAACATCTCAAAGGTCTTTCCTGTGCTTTTTCACCTTTCCTTTTTGATAAAAGAAAAGTCGGTGGCGAATCTTGCTAACCGCGACATTTGCGACAAAACGCAAAACATCAAGTCAGTTCTCCCACCGTATCACAGTAAGTTAAAATCAACAAGTAGACCACCCTGATCAAAAGACAAAAATGCATGCAATCAAATACACTTTGCACACACGCACCTCTAGGGTTAACTCCACTTGTTGCCTTATGAAAAATAGTCATGTTATGCATGTGAGACGTCTTAGCAAAAACAATCAAAAATACAAGATCATAGTCCCTCGATGACGCTTCGAATGTTGCCTTACAAATGATCTTAGTCCTTCAAAAGAAATGCTAAGATATCTCACAACATTTCTATCATGACTATACGATGACCCACGCCCATCCCTTTTACATCCAAAGATAAGGTTTCTTACCAATCAATGGTAGGATAGCAATATCAAAGGAAGAGGGGAATGAACAAAAGACTTTTGAGTAAGGTAGAATGTTCATAGTTGCTCGCTCATCTTCAAAACACAAACACCTTTTCAAACGCACCGACACTTTCCATTGAAATATTTTCAAAAGTTCAAAAAACTTTGTATACATTCTTCTAGAGACGAGAATCATTACAAAGTTTGCCTAAACGAAGGCGCTTTTCAAAGATACTTTCAAAAACCACCACAAATCACACTTTTAAACAAAAGAAAATATCTAGCAAGCAACTAAGAGCCCATAGATAACTATGGATGAAAAGGGTGCTAATACCTTCACTTTTCATAATCTACCCCCCGAACTCAAGAAAATAATCTCAAAGGTCTTTCCTATTCTTTTCAACCTTTCCTCATTGGATAAAAGAAAAGTCGTTGGCGACTCTTGCTATCTGCAACAATTGCGATCAAACGCAAAAACATCCCAAGTCAGTTCTCTCACCGCGTTACATACCTCCACAAAAGAGTCAAACTCCATTGGTGTAAACGTCTGCATTGCATGCATAGATCATTCATATATCATGCATAACAAAATTCATACATAATGCATAACAACAGTGTTTAATCCTCATTTGCATTTCATGAGGTCTTGCTCCAATTGACATGTCATCTTGAGATCAAAGTCCAACTTACTTGGCACCTACCAAAACAAATGTTAATTCAGCTGTCTCTCTTTCGTCCAATGCTAATCTTAGATATGTTGTCTCTTTTGTTTCCATCCAAAGCCAATATTGGATGTTGTTACCTTTGTTTCCGTCCAAAGTCAATATTGGATGCCACCATCTTTTCTTTCATTCAAAGCCAATATTGAATGTCAGGATCTTTTGTTTCCACCCAAAGCCGATATTGGATCTTGTTCCCTTTTCTTTCATCCAAAGCCAATATGGGATTCCATGATCTTTTGTTGCCATCCAAAGCCAATATTGGATGCCACCATCTTTTCTTTCATTCAAAGCCAATATTGAATTTCAGGATCTTTTGTTTCCATCCAAAGCCAATATTGGATGTTGTTCCCTTTTCTTTCATCCAATGCCAATATTGGATGTCATGATCTTTTACTGCCATCCAAAGCCAATATTGGATGCCACCATCTTTTGTTGCTGTCCAAACCCAATATTGGATGTCGTTACCTTTTCTTCCATCCAAAGCCAATATTGGATGTTGCTATCTTTTGTTTCCGTCCAAATCCAATATTGGATATTTTTATCTTTGTTGTTGTCCAAATCCATTATTGGATGCCATGATTTGTCTCACCTTATTCAAAGCCAATATTGGATGTTGTGATCTCTTCTCTCGTCTAAATCCATTATTAGACGTTGAGTTTTCCATCCATCCAAAGCCAATAGGATGTTGTGATCTTTTCTCTCGTCTAAAGCCATTATTAGACGTTGAGTTTTCCATTCATCCAAAGCCAATATTGGATGTTGTGATCTTTTCTCTCGTCTAAAGCCATTATTAGACATTGATCTTTCCCTTCATTTAAAGACAATATTGATTGTTGTGATCTTTTCTCTCGTCTAAAACCATTATTATACGTTGATTTTTCCCTTCATCCAAAGCCAATATTGGGTGTCGTGTTTCTTTTCCGTCCAGCGTCTTTCCTGGACGACTCTGATGTAGCTTCAGATTTGGTCTTATCCCACATCTAATGTTCTTCTAGATGCTTCTGATTATCTTTTCCAGAGAGTTGTTCGCCTCATTCAATTCCATTCTTGGATCTCGCTGCTTGCCTTCTCGGATTTTATCTCTTTTTTCCAAGTATTGATGGTTATTCTTTGCCACCCTAACAGATATCCAAAAATATCTTGTTGTTTCCCTAGCGTGTCTTTCCATGTCATTTTATCTGAACTACCATATGTTTCCAGTTTCGAGTCTCTCCATATTCCCACAGAGTCTGTCTCATCTCATACATCATTCAAAAAAATATATGTCAAAAAAAGAGTCCATGCATTCATTCGTAACATATGCTATCATCTCATCGCATCAAGGACGAAATTCGGGTCTGTTTGTATTTAATTACTTTCTGCCTATCTGGCAAAGAGATAATTAAATAGGGGAAGTTGTTGTACCCTAAATTTCGCCCCTGATTTTTTCAGTCGCACTTTCATATCATATTTTTCTATTTGGTCACAATCATTAATAAATAGCTCCATTCATCACATTTGAATCATTTAATCGTGTTTAAGTTGACCAAATGTCAGTTTAAATCGACATTTGCATCATTCTGTAGTTTAAAAATACCCGACATTTAACTTCATGCATTTTTATCTCTTTACTATTTTCTTGCATTGCTCCAAGTTGTTTATATGTTGATAATATTAATATTTAGGTTTTACAGACAGATTATTAAAAGCGATTCGACATTGTGCGGAAAATTAGCGAGAAAAACATTTCAAATTTTCATCTTTTACCGATCATTTTATGAATCTGCGTTTCACGTAGATTATGACGGTATGCTCGCTTTATTTTTTCGGTACAGTTTGAAGTCTCGTTCTTAATCGTAAACGTCTGTTTAGCCTGATATTTTTATTCTCATTTTATTTCGATTTTTACTTTTTGGATTTTTTTTCTTTAATCTTTACGACATGTAGTTTATTTTAATGTGTTCATTTAATTTTTTCGGATACATTTTCGTCCATTTTTTTACCAGTTTTAGTCATTTTAAGTCTTTATTTTTTATTCAGAAAAAATTCAAAAAAAATATTTTAATTTGAGTTAATTTGAATATTTTCAGGTTTTTATTTTTTTTTGTCATTTAAGGGCTTTTTGGTCACAAAAATATATTGATTACACCTTGCTTTATTCCTGTTAACTGTAAGCATGATTTACGAATCGATAAAATTGTCAAAACTAAATTGAAAAATATCAGGACCATTTTCTCACCATTTGTTCTATTTAAGTAGCTTATTCTCTTTGTAAAACAACACAAGAGCAATAGCAGTAATACTCCCTCATCTTTCAATCTTTACCCCTTTACCCTCTATCTCCTTCTCCAACTTCATTATATACTCTCACCTTCATTTCCTCTTTCCGTAACATCTACAAACTGCCTATGTTTCTTTCATCAAACTGGCTATCACGCCATCACCATCAACGCACGAACAACAACCTATCGTCCAACATCCAACCCTTTCATTCCACCAATTTCCACCGTTCCACTAGCAACAATCCCTCCGCCTCTGTTTTCTTCTTCAACCACCATCACTATCACGAACTGCATCATCACCGTAACCTCACCCTGTTCTGATTACCCTCAAGTCGTATCCAATTTCGCGATTCCGTCAATCTCCTCCCTTCAATTTCAACACTACCCTCTGCCACTATTAACCTTTCAACCTCACCACCATTTTTCATCTTTGATTCGTCTCCGCTTGCAACATGCCGCTTCATCTTCACACAAACCACCTCTCCCTTCATCAATTACTGTAACCCTCAATTTCTGTTTCTCCGCAAGCAATTTCCATCCGTTCATTCACTGTTCATTCTCCATATCAGTGATACAACCAATCTCCATCATCGTCGATACCTCTCTCAGCTTGCCGTACTTCCACTTCTCTAATCTCTACTCAACGATTCTTCTTCTCACTGCCAATTTCGACTGTCTCTCAGTCACCCTCAGCGGATAATCCTTTTGTATCAGTCTATCAAAATAGTATGCTCCACCATTTCCGTTTAGCTTCACCTCTGAGCTCGTTCATCAACCGTCATTCGGTAAACATTCGTATCACCCTTAACTCATTTATTTGGATTCAGTACTGATTGGTAATTCCTGTTTGTTTTATTTGTGAGAAGTTGAACATTAAAGTTTGGATAATATCTTCAGTACTATTTTTGAATATTGAACTCCAGTTAGCATTGTTGTTATTTGTGTTAAGATAATGCTATTTGAGTCATTTGTGTTAGATGTGTTATCTGTGTTATACCAGTTGAATTTGAATTTTTTAGTTTTGATACCAGTTTTGTTTCATTTGTGTTATTGTGTGAAAATGCTGATTAAATGGTGTTATTCCTTTTGATTTGAAACGATATGCTATGGAAATGTCCAGAAAGCATGCTTGACAGTGTGTGCTTAGGATATGTTGAAATGTGATAAGGAATTTCTATTAATTGTGTTTTGTTGGTATATGTTGAAGTGGTTTAAATTTGATTGAAAATTTGATTTGAACATCATATTGTTAAATGACTGTTGCATTTGGAGTTAGAGAATACAGATCGTTGTTCAATGTTTGTGTTCATGTTTGACTTTATTTCGGACAGGAATTTAAGTCTTGATATTGTTACTTGTTTCGATGAAGGTGACAATAATGCCGCATTTATTTGTGTGTAAATATGACCGAGAAATTATTGAAGACAACATGTTATTTCCTTTTGTTATAAACCATGTTTGAATTGGAATTTTGGGACATAATAGATAAATGCATAGTTGCTTTCCAGATTTCTGTTTAAGGTTTTAGGCCTATTTTGAATTCAATTTCTCATGTTACAATGTGAACTGTTGATTCTTGCTTTCTGTTGTTGTTTGAAATAGCGTTTGCTCTTGAGTTTACTTGATGGAATACATGTATGCAATGCTTATTTTTGTGTTTACGTGGAATAATATCATGAATTCTTGATTTTTATTTGTGTAAATATTAATGTGCATTCATACAAATTCATTTCAGTTTTATATTGTGATTACTAACACAAATTCTCATTGTTGCAATTTCATTTCATTTTAATGTTTATACCACTTATGCTACGAACGAGTTTGTTTACTGTGAAGGTTTCCGATAATTGTTTCAAGCAGTTCATTCCCGCATAGCGGGTCCACACTTTCTCCTTTACCTCTTTATTGTATTTTACTAATTTGATTTAATATTTGGTACTATAAATATAAACGTGTACATAATATTTTGACTGTATATTTTATTCACTTCATTTGTAAATAAATTCAGGTTATGTAAATATTATTTTCATCGCGTTGCAATTTTAAATTTTAATTCAAATTAACTTCTGAAAAAATTGTACGGACGTATATAATTTTTCCCGTGCGGTTAGTTTTGTCTATATATTTCATGTGATGCAGGGAATCTTATACCGTGAGCTTCATCCGTAATTTCTCTATCCGTTATTTATTTTCACGTGTTACGATTCATTGCGGTTTATTCTCCGCTTGGAGTATTATCTTACATTTGGTTTTTTGATGCTTCCATCTTGTGATTTATTTTCACCTGAGGTTTGGTATACTCTTAGCTTATTTTTTCTGTCTGTGGTTTTAAAACCCAAAGGGATGGGAACACAATATTGACTTCATCATTTACCAATATTACCTTATTTGTTACCCTCCTGTACATAGGACATTCTTTTCTCCCATCCTTTAATTTTCAAAACCTTCTCATCTTTTTCAAAATCTTCTTTGTTTATAAACTCGAACCACTTTCATAATAAACCTCGACTTTGTCGAGTCCCTTTTCTTTAAAAACTTCCTTTCTTTAAACAAACTTCAATTCATTTAATCATACTTTGACATCTTTCAAAATTAACAAAAACAATTCAACTCAGTCAAACTCTTTTGTGCGCTCGAGCACCTTTTACCATTCAAACCTTTTTTCAAGATGAGACATGATTCATTGATAGGTGATCAACATTCTCCTATCCCCATGGTTATAAAGGTATCTACTTTTCCACTTGAGTAATAGAGGCGTTCTCAAACCCTCACTCTTGCTGGCGCAGGGTCCATCTTTCCCACACCTTGTGGGCGTTAGTCGAGTTTTCTCTCCTAACAATGACGACTTGTCTCTTTGTTTAAAAACAATCAACAGACAAGTATTTTCTAGCCGAACTACGGTGCTATGACTTTCCCATTGCACGAGGGAGTACGTAGTCACTAAGTCTTACGACCCAAGGCGAGCAACAAAAATAATACAAAACATTTCATTTTCTTTTGTGTGCAAATACTCATTCATTCTTTTCCTTTAGCAAGTAAACTCGTACATTATACTCCTTTTTAAAGAAACCAAACAAAGTGGATCCTGTGGAGTACCGTAGATGCTTAGGGTTCTAATACCTTCCCTTTGCATAACTGACCCGCGTACCTCGATCTCTGATCTTTTACTTCATTGTGGGTTTTGTTCGCTTTTTTCCCATTTCCCTTTGGAAACAATAAATTGCGGTGGCGACTTCATTATGTTGAGATAATTCAATTGATGGCTTAGATCTCAAATCTTTACCGCTACATTTCTTTTCATATCATCACTGTCGCAATTTAGTTCATCTTTCGCTACATCTTCGATGGTGGCGATTGTGCGCGACACAACCATTGACGAGGAAGTTCAGAAGCTGAGAAGTGCCAATTTTTTGAATTAAATAAGGGTCAAAATAGATGAAACTCCTAATATATATTCTTTGAGATTTTCTAAACCTTAGAGGTAAAACTACAGTCGATAAATTTGAAAATAAATTATACCCGGATAAAATTAGAGTATAACAAATATCTAATTTCAGATATATCGTTAGCATCGAGTAAGTCTTGGATCGTCTTAATGGTTGCTTGGAACATTTAAAAGGATTGGCACATACTTTGTTGGGATATGTATCAAACAAAAAGATCAATATTTAACTGATGTCATTCTACACTCATGTATATGCCCGATTTCTCACAGGGAGAAATTGCAAAGAGGTCAGCATTGGACTTTAGGCACTCAATGAGTCCTTTCTTTACTTTGACTGGTATATCGGAACCTAATCAAATAGACTGCATCGAGTGTTGCACCCTAAAATTTTCCCTCTTATTTATACTCCTGGCTGTATTATGCTTCTCATTTTTGTCTGCGTTACTTTCCATTAGGATATCTTCATATCAGGCATTTCATTAAATAAAAAAGTGTCTGAGGTTCAAAGTTCAGTGGGCTTGCAATATTAAGGTTTCATAATGGTTAAGGTGTTCATATCTAATAAAATCTGATTTCTTCTGAGTCTTTTGGTTCTTCTTCAAGCAGCGAAGTGTGGAATTATGGTTGTGATCCATGGTTCTTGTGGATTCTTTATTCATTAAGTTACAAGGGCTATTCTTCTACAAACTCACCAAGATCTTGTATTGGGGTTTGACCTTACAATTATCATGGGTGCCTCTACTCAACTCTTGATATTGTCTATATTGTCTATATTGAGTGCCCGTATTACAAGTCATGTTATCTGGACTTATTTTCAAGGGGTTTGAATTTAGAAAATGAAGAATCTTTTATGGTTCATGGATTAAGATGCGCCTTCATTATGTTTGCAATTACCAGTGATTTAGGGTTTTTGGTGACTAGTGTTTGGACTTCTTCTCAAAAATGGACGTGATTGTTTAGTCAAGACATGGTTCATTTTCATTCGCTTATGATATGAAAGTTGTGTGCTTTGAACTTTATTCAAGAATTTATCATATAATTTAAGAATCAACATTGAGTCACTTTGGAGTGTAAGCTGGATTAATGAGTGTCATATGTTAGAACATAATTTGGTTCTACATCCCTGTAAGAGTTTTGATGATAACAAACACATGATATATATATATATATATATATATATATATATATATATATATATATATATATATATATATATATATATATATATATATATATATATATATATATATATATATATATATATATATATATATATATATATATATATATATATATATAAAGAACAAATATGCTCGCTAATAAAAGTATCCTTATATACAGGATGTTCCGATGTGAAAAAGATCTACTAGACATCACTAGAAGATCTGATACAGCAAGCATAGAAGATGAGAATATTATGATATAATCAGACACATTCTTCTTAGAAGAAAATATGTGTGACACGCTTATATGAAGAAGTTCTGTTACAACTTCTGAATGCACCAATATTGGGTAACAGGATCTCTGATACTCTGATCTGTAAAGTTCTGATACAAGAAGTAAGGGACTCCAAACAGAAATATTCATCCTCTGATGCGAGAAGTTCTGAAGCGTTACAATTTATCATTGTATATCAAAAGTAACGGCTATAAAGAGACAAGAATCTCCTAGTTTAGAAATATCATTAATTCGTGTTATGAACATTCGAAAAGCATCTTCGTATGTCACTGTTGCATGGACTATATAAAGAAGACGAAAAGAAGAATTCATGTGACGAACATTTTGCGCACGAAAAAGAAAATTATTTATCCAGTTCTACCTAGTAATCTTAACCTGTGTAAAGCATCCTTGTGATACTGTTTTATTAGAAAACACTCTTGTACACATTTATTCAAATATTATTTTGTAATTCCTTGAGAAAACCGGGTTGTGGTTTTAGACTCAAGAAGACATTGACAGTTGTCATTGTGATTTGTAATCAAGATTGATTAGTGGATTAAGACCTCGTTAGATAGAGGC